CACGATGACACTGTTTCACTGACCCTGTGACACTGTAACACTGACACTGTGACACTGGACCATGTGACATTGTGATTTTGTGACACTAGGACACTGTGACACTGACCCTGTGACACTATGACACTGTGACACTGACCCTGTGACACTATGACACTGACTATGGCCCTCTGACACTGACCGTCCCTATGACGCTGACCATGTGACACTGACTCTATGACTCGGTGACACTGAACCTGTGACACTGAACTGTGACACTGTGGCCGTGACACTGTGACCCTTTGACTGGGGAGAGAATGCGAAGGTCGGATAGCCGCAGTCACCGTGATGGGAACGACGCGAGCTTCATTAAGCCTGCTTTCTTTCAGAGCCCCCTCCCCCTGTCATCCTGTCGTCTGCTTCCAATCTTGCCCCGTGTGTGTGTGTGTGTGTGTGTGTGTGTGTGTGAGAGAGAGAGAATGTGTGTGTGAATGTGTTGAGGTTTGTGTTGTGAATGTTGGTGTGTGTGTGTGTGTGTGTGTGTGGTGTGTGTGTGTTTGTGTGTGTGTGTGTGTGTTGTGCTGGGCGGGGGCAGGGGTTTCGGTCTGTGTGAGTGTTGGTGTGTGTATGTGACTGTGTGTGTGTGTGTTTGTGTGAGTGTTTTCTGCTGAGAGTGTGTCAGTGTGTCGGTGACAGTGGCCAGAATGACCGCGGCTGGGGGGCCGCGGGGCGTATCGCGGAAAGTCGTTAATTTACGGCATATTATTTGAGCTGAGACACTGTCGTAGTTTTTATAGCCCACCCGCGTAGATCTGGGACACTGGGGGCTAAGAGGCTCGCCGAAGGAAAAGTTGCAGTAGTAACTTCTGTCAAATATTCGTCAATCTTCGTTATAGATAATGAAAGTACAGTACGTATTCAGTAAAGAGAGTTTTGCTCATTGCTTTGGTAACTTCATGATAACCTTGCCGTCATGGCCGAAAAACTGGTCACGGGCTAAAGTACTTGAAGATGTCCTAAGACTTACCTGCAATGCCCAATTTGACCCATCGGACCTACTTCCACCCCGCGGGCGGGTCCAAAGTAGGGTCTGTGAGGCAAAACCGTCACTGTTTCACTTATAGCGGCCGAACCATGCATCATATCCAAGACGGCCACAGTCAGGAAGATGCGGAATATTTAATTACGAAGATAATGGTATCTGATTGAAAACTGTGGGACATCCTGCGCTTGGCCTGACGCAAGTGAAAAGCGACGAAATTTCAACGAAAATCCCACTTTGACCAGGCCGTATCTCAGTAATTATAGGTTCCCGACAAAAATGTTCAAAGTAAAACCTTCTTGCCTCGTCAAATTATACAGAAGGGTGTGATTTGGGACCACTGTGGGCTGATCTGGGTCTAAGAAAATGAATATTTTCGCTTAAAATCCGTCGCATTTTACTATAAATCGCGTTTGGCCAAGCGTAGGACACTGTGGCAAAAAGGTACGGAAAATTCTGTTAATTTTTTTGCCAGGATTCTCCGTAGCCCTCTTATCAATATTCTCCGTAGGCTCTTACAGTATTCTCCGTGGGCCGTCTATGCTCTGTAAGTCCGCACAGTCTTTCCGTAGGACCTGGAAGACTGTATAGTCTACGGACATCACGAAGGTCTTACGAGAACTGTGCGGTCCTACGGAAATACGTAAGAGCCTACGGAGAATATTGATCAGGGGGTACGGAGAATCACAAGTGTTACAGAATTTTCTGTAGCTTTTTGCCACAGTGGATGTTGTCGTACAGTTTTCAATCATATACCATTCTCTTCGTAATTAAATTCCGCATCTTCCTTACTCTGTCCGTCTTGGATATGATGCCTGGTTTGGCCGCTATAAGTGAAAAAGTTTCAACTTTGCCTCACAGACCCCACTTCGGATCCCCCCGGGGGGTGGAAGGAGGTCCGATTGGTCAAATTTGGCATTGCAGCTAGTCTTAGGACATCTTCAAGTGACTCGTGACCAGTTTTTCGATCCCAGATTTTCACTCCACCCTAATGGCCATTGAGGGCTGAGTTAGAAAACAATAAGAATTTCAGTTGAGTGATTTCCCTTCACGACCTTGTCCTACGACGTTCGGCATGTTTGCCAACACGGCTGGCGGGGCGTGGCGACGCGTGGCGATGCGTGGCGGTGGGGTGGGCCTCCACGCCCTCCACGCCCGCACGCCTAATTGGGGTGCTGACGCTTCGCTGACGCGTTGGCAAGCAGGCCGAGGCAGGCCCTGCGCTGCAGGCCGATTTCAAACAGTTATATTTCTTCTGTCTCCCTCGCACTTATGGAACACCCCTCATGTCAGCACTGTAAAAAATAAATCTTTGGAATTAACGAAGGCATCAGCTCTAAACAAATGTTGCCGTAAGAACTTTTGTAAAACGATGACTCTTGGTCATTAACGAAGATTCATCGAAAAAAATAAACATTCTTCGAAAATTTGTGCGTTAACAAAGGAACTTTTGGCAAAATAAAATCTTTGTAAATTTTCAATGTATTTCTTACAGAGAGAGGGAGAGAGAGAGAGAGAGAGAGAGAGAGAGAGAGAGAGAGAGAGAGAGAGAGAGAGAGAGAGAGAGAGAGAGACTCCGCTGACGGGCGGGGCCCGTTGACGACGGGAGTGATTACTTGGCGCGCACCACAGAAACACGGAGAATGAAGAACGGGAGGCGGTGTCACGCCAGTACACCTTGAATGTGCTAGTTCAAACTTTGTACGAGTTCTCACTTTTTAAAACATGCACACAAGGAATCCGTAAAAGATCGTCCACGAATTAGCATATTATTGTGCGATATGTCGTTAGAAAAATTGTTTGAAAAATTTCGTATGTTTAAGAAAACTAACACATGTCACACCTTATTGCGGTGAGCCATTATGCGACTTTCTTGGCGACACTTTCAGGTCAAACTGGACAAGACTTTTCGTCCCACCTCTGGAGTGACGAGAAGTCTGACCTTTGGATTTGTTGTGGGGAGCCAGATGGAGGATCAAACTGTCAAGATAAATGCTCCCTGACGCATCCCCCAAAATAAATGTAGTGTTCGTATGCGACCGCTGGAGTACCTCACCACATTTATCGCTTGGTTCATAATTCTTAATATTCAAGATGTTTTTTTTTTCAACGCTATGACGCGTGGTGTTTATAAAAATCACGGTTTCGCCCAGCACACCTCGGAAGCCGATTGAGAAAAATACTTAGGTGGATCCCGCTAATTGCATGCCAGCTTTGACTGTGAGGCATAGGATTCACCGTTCTTTTTTGACAGTCGCCTACGCATTTTGACGTGTGGCGATCCAAGGACATGTCTGCCACTGAAAATCAGAGCTCGAGACGGTGAAACACTTTGTGTGGCCACAGAAAGGGTGATGCCGTGAAAAATGTTTGTCTGACTGAAAAAAGGTGATACTAAAATGGACAATCGTAAGGGTCATACTTTCTTGTACCACCGAGAAAGGGTGAGAGCGGAATGCTAGGGCCAGTCTGACTTGCGTATTGTGTTTAACCTTCTTCCAGTGACCCTATTTTATCGACGAACATTGGCCAGGTGTCCCACCTATTGAATTGCAGTTATGACCCTGCAAAATAGCAGACGGATCGGACGAGCCATTCAAGAAGAATGGTGCTCACACACAAACACAAACACACACACACACACACACACACACACACCTCTACACAGACACACACACACGCGCGCGCGCGCGCGCGCACACACACACCTCTACACAGACACACACACACACACGCACCCAAGTAGACAGACGTACTCAAAGTTTATTGACCCCGCTCGAGTAACTGTATTCGCCATCGCTCTCGCTCAAACTAGGCCTCGATTCACATTCATGAACGTGACATGATTCACGTTCAAACGAATGGAATAAGAGTGTACAAGCCTGAGAGTCTGGACGCGTCTGGAAGAGGGAGCGGAGATGGCATGGCGCCCGGGGGAAACCGCGCTCAGAAGAAACCTTAGTTTAATTGACGAGTTTCTGGCGTTGTGGAAAAGAATAAAAATGAAGAGCCGGCGGCACGGCGCTGACAGAGGATAACGCGAGCGACGCACAAGTCCGTCCTCTGCGAGCCGAGCGGGTCGCGGAGCAGTAGGCCGATTCTGAGAGTCGTTTTCGCAGCACTGTCTCTCTCGCATCCATACGGGCCGCCCTGAGCGTGCGAGAGGGACAGGCCCGACTCGCGGGATCGGTCTGCTGGCCTGCGTCGAACAGAAACTGGTTGTGAGCACTTCGCCGGACGGACGCACACGACGCGTCCGTCGTACAGTAGGCACTACGGGTTCGATGTTCGGCGTGCCCAACGAACGCATGTCATCGTCGGAGGAGACACACACACACACACACACACACACGTTTTGTGAGGTAATATGGTAATAATGTGCTTCCCAATCGTCGAGATGGTTCTGAATGGTCGTGATAACTTCCACGCCTCACCGGTCGGGTCGGCCGCCCTAAAAATCGGAGGCCGGACCAGCCCGCAGCCCGGGCCGGCGGTGGCAGCGAGGCGGCGGCGTGAGTAACCAGCCAGTCCGTGGCTCGGCGCGCGGCGAGCCTTCTAGCCCGTTTGCGTCCGTGTAAATCCACCACACCCCGTCGTCGCCCCCCTGAAGGCTGAACCTTGCTCTCGTCTCTCATAGGGGTGTTCGGCGGGGTGAGGGAGGGGAGAGGGGGAGGGGTGAGAAAGGGGGAGGAGACACTTGTTCGGAATCAAACTTACCGCCCCTCCTTCGCGAGCCAGTCACTCTCACTAGCCCCTTTCTCCTCCCTCCGAACGCCCTTCCCCCCCCCCCTTTCTGTAGAACACATGGGTGCCGCCAAGCTTCACCATGATGCCTTCCAATGCGTTTCGGAGCTGGGGCCGGGCGGGGGGGGGGGGGGGGGGCCGGCCCACCCTCTGCTCGGCGGGGCGCGGGGTGGGCCGTGGCGGGCCGTGGTCCGCGGGGCGCAGGGATTGTAGCCGCTTGTCTAGCTCCCTCCGCTAGCTCGGCCGGCTCACTCCCCCTCGGGCCGCCGCCGCCGAGTCACCGACCGTGTTCGACGCGTGTCGCGTGTCGTGTCGCTGCCGTGTCGCTGCCGTGTCGCTCGCGTGTCCGCCGTGTCGCTGGACCGTCGCGAACCTCGAACATCGGGGATCCCCAACTCGAATAAGCACCATGGTAAGAGAATAATTGCACTCTGGTAAAGCAAAGGAATGTGTACTATACCCTCACAGGGTGTCAGGAATTCACGCCCCTGAACGGCTCAGATCGTCTGATGCCGGGGGAAGTGTGAATTGGAAAAGGACCTCCAGGCAAAATTTTAATACCCTTTCAAAGGCATTACCCTATTGGGTATGGAACTCGTAGCACTGAAAAACCTTACAAACTATTTTGGGCCTTACAGAGAAAGGTAGTTTGCCTAACAAAGTATTTTGAGCATATATAAGCTTACAAAGAAAATACTTCGTAATTTACAAACTATTTCCTGGTATAACAAAGTATATTAGTTTGTTTATGTATGCTCAAAATACTTCGTAAGGTTTTAAGGGTGGGATTTTCAAGATTGAAATCCAATACATTGATCTAGGATCGATCAACCCCCTTCTTCTGCTTTATCTATACCCACGCCTGCAGACCTTACGTCACATTCCACAAAATCCCGTACTTTTGTACGGAAAATGTACAGACGCGTCCGTACTTGCTCTATATGAACTCATGCAATCGGGTTCGGAAGAAAAGTACAGAAGCTCCATAGTTGGGCTGTAACGGACGGTCCAGGCAAATTATTGACCAGACATGTTCCGTACTTTTTCTGTACTTTTTTCTCGCAGTGTATCCACCTTCCCCCCCTCAAAACAAAAAAGGCATTTGGATAAGAGGAAAGAAGCGGAGAAGCTGATGTACGCTTTAGGAAGAGCGTTACTGACTGTGCGCCTCGCGAAAGGCTGCATATCACGCCTCAGTCTTAGTGCAGCAGAGCGCCTGGAGGGTAGGCTGTGCCGCCAAACACTGCAGCGCTGCAGTACGGCCTAGGCTGGCTCCAGCGGGCGTCAAGGCTCTTCGGCTCCCGGAGCGCCCAGCCAGCAGCCAGCCCAGCCGGGCTCACGTCGCCCACGTGTACACTTTAAATGCCTTAAATGACATAATGCCCCAAAAAACCGACAAGGTGCAAAAGAGTTTTCCAAACACTCTCAGCCTTTTACTGACTATTTCTCATTAGCAGACGTATTTCTGTAAGCAACCATAATACTTAGTATTAAGTTCTTAAATACGTAAAAATTTCTTTGTAATTTACTAAGAAAACGGTAATATCAGTACAGTAATTAGCAATTGCTAAGCAATACTGACAAAAAATACTAAGTATTATGGTTGCTTACAGAAATGCGTAAGCTGATGAGAAAAAGTCAGTAAAAGGCTGAGAGTGAAGTGCAATAAGTCAGCTGCGTCACTGCTAGGCGAAAACAGTGTCCGGGTTTCCCAGGCCCACCCTGGAAAAATGACCCAATAAGACTTTTGGAGTGTGGTGGTGCGGCCGGCTGCGTTTTTGGCTGCGTTCCGAAGTCACGGACTTGCCCGCGGGGCCGCGGCACTGTACGGCCGTGCTGCGTAGCGCCATGTTTGGCCCGCTGCACCTTAGCACCTGAGAATACCTGTGCGCCTCGGTGTCCGTCCTGGCGGTGCTGGCGGTGCTGGCGGACGCCATGCGGCACGCCTCAACGTGCCAACCCATCCGACACCCGTCGTTTCACTCGTTATTGGTAGCCGTCTCCTAGAGCCGCGGGGGGGAGGGGGGAGGGCAACGAGATGGACAGGGAGTGCCGCCGCCGTGGCGCGCCACCCCTCCAAGTAGAGCATGTGAATCTGGCGGGGAGCCACGCGCCCCGAGACAAACTTGCGTGCGAGAGAATAGATTAGTAGGGAAGTTTCTCTCTCGGCCAGAGGAGTCAAGGAGTCGTCATCGCCTGGCGGCCGGAAAAAAAATACAGGAAAAGGGGCGATGCGATCATTGGCAACTTTGGCCCGTCCCGTAAAACATTCGCGAATTTTGTTCGTATTTTACACCAATGTGATTCGATATCTCAGGCAAGGTCTGGATGGTCGACATCAGTCCTCATCAAAACGTTCGAAACTATGTCAAAGTCGAAATAAAATTTCGGTAGTAGGCCTATTTGCCTCTTTTGGGATTCAAACCTGAGTCTGGGCTCAAAACGGATGTCATTTTCATTATTAGCACCCTCGAAAACGTACAAAACGATACCAAACTCGATATTAAGATTTCGGTCGTCCGTATTCCTTGCCGGGATTCGAACCTACGTTCATACTTTTCCGATTAGCCCGAAGTTAGCACCGCTGACCGCGAATCGTTGCCCCGATTCCATAAATATACCCCTATTAGCTAAGCACTGTTGGCTCAGGGGATCCTCCTCGAGCCCATGTAGGCCCTGTTGTACCTGCAGCGACGGCCCCCGGGTCTCGGATCGGATTTACTGCCGCCGGGTGGTTCTTGGGGTGACCCAAAGAGGCTGCATGCCAAAGTCGGTGAAGATGGGAACACGAGGAACAAGTCCTCGCCCGGACGGATGGACGGACAGACGGACGGACGGACGCACAGCACGCGTCACACTCTATGTGCCCGTACTCCTTTTTTTGGGACGGACCAAAAAAACGGTCAAAGTGTTTGTTCGACACGAATGGCTTCGGCGGCCGGGCGGCACGCGTGGGTGAGGCAATTGCTGACCTTGTGAGGGGTTACCCACTTGTTGTTTTGGCGTTCACATTCCGGATGTCCGCGGACCCCGAACTCCACAGTCCTCTCCAGAAATACAGGTCAAACTGGAGCGTGACTACTCAAGCATACACTCTCAGCATGTTATTGACTTTTTGCTCATTTTGCCCGTGCTTACACAAGTAATTGTGCTACCATAATACGTGCTTTTCCTTTTCTAAATAACTATTTACGAAAGATTAAATAATGTGCTGACAATTTGGCTTTGTACATAATTTTACAAAGGAAATGAGTCATACTTACTTAGAAAATACTAAGTATTTGTTGCTTATACAAATACGAAATTAATTAGAAAAATATCAGTAACGTGCTGAGAGTGTAGAGTTACGCTTGAACACGTTACGCTTGAAATGAAGAATACACTGGGAATTTCTCCATGCATTTAGATAGGGGGAATCCTCGTGGATAAGCTTGATCAAGCTCATCTACGTATCCATACGCTCGCAAAGTGTAAACTGATTGAGCTTGAAAACAGAGAAGGTGATAAGCTTTATTTTTACCTGTGGAAGTTCAGACATTTGACGGATTGATGTCAACCACTCCTATTGATCAATCGAGAGACTTTTGATCCACATTTGCGTGAGTAACGCCATTAACACTTTACTTTTCCTTTTTGTGAGAGGCCTTGAGTTCGGAGAAAAGGGGGAAGTTTTCCTATTTTTCTTTAATCTTATTTCTGTGATCATAACTGACCCTACCCACTTTCAACCCCAACTGACCCTACACACTATTCCCCCAGTAGGTGCACGTGGACGAGACCCTTGTCGCCTGGGGCGTGCCACGGGCGTTCCACGGGCGTGCCAGAGGCGTGCCAGGGGCGTGCCAGGCACCCCCGCCACGCCTTTCCGCGCGGCTACACTGTTACACCGCGATCCACACCACAGAGGGCGCCACCCTTGCATAACGCCGCCAAGGAATAACTGTCGTCGGCTGCGGCGGGGCGTGGCATGGTGGGGGCGTGGCGGGGCGTGGCGGGGCGTGGCGGGCGGGGCGTGGCGGGGCGTGGCGGGGCGTGGCGGGGCGTGGCGGGGCTGCCAACAATAACACGCAGCGGGCCGTATTTCATCGAGTACCGCGACGCGCCGCCTCGTGCCGCCTGCCGTGGCTGCCGTGGCTGCGGCCGCAGGACAGACACTGCGAGTCGTACCACAAGGACCGGGCAGGGCAGGGCCGGGCAAACCGCGGGCCGGGCGCCACATACTTAAAATTAGCTTCTGATTCAAGATGCAAGCAGCTGGCCGAAGCGCCCTGGCATCCTCTCACCACAGCGCCTCCAAGCGACCGATGAATGGGCGTTCACAATGCGACTTTCCCCTCCCCCCCCCCTTTTCCAACACGGTTCTTTTCCCGCCGCCCCTTTTGAATGGGCTGCGGGAGGAGCAAATTGCAACACGTTGTGGCTCAGCGTGCTGCCAATTGTGTGTGTTCCCCTCTCTCTCTCTCTCTCTCTCTCTCTCTCTCTCTCTCTCTCTCTCTCTCTCTCTCTCTCTCTCTCTCTCTCTGAGCGTGTGTGAGCGCACCCCTGCCGGTGCTTTGGTGCTTCGGCATCCCTGAGGAGAGACAGTCGGCGAAGCTGCGCCGCGTTTCCGTGAACGTATGCACGTTTAATTTTAGCGGCAGGATGCCTGAAAAGAGTGTACACGCGCCGTGCCGTGCCGTGACGTGCCGTGCTGCGCCGTGTCGTGCCGCGCCATGCCGTGCCGTGCCGTGCCATGCCGCGCCGCGCCGTGCCGCCTCGAAGTGCCCGGTGGTGCCCGGCCCCCGGGCCGGCCGGCTGTCCGCTTCCTCCCCGACAGGACCGTCAGCCCTTTGACGCACTCGACTCGCCCGCTCCCCCGCCAGGCTGCAGACTGATTCCGAGAGTGGCTTTCGTCGCTCTGTCTCTCTCGCACTCGTGGGGCATTCCCCTGTTGGTGCGAGAGAGCCAGAGCGACGAAAACTGCTCTTGGAGCCAGTCTGCCGCCTGCCTGGCCGCGTGCAGTCCCGCGTGGCTTCCGAGGAACGCAGCGAATGTCGCGCCCCGAGTGCAGTGTCCCAGTATCCCAGTGTCCCAGTGCCCCGGTTTCCCTTTTCTTCTCACCCGCCCTTCCTTGGTCATTGGGAAAACTACTCGGAGAGAAAAGAGCACAAAAAGTATGGAGCAAGCCATCGGTGAATGTCCATTCAAGCATGAAGCTATACGCTTGAAGACTCTACCTGCGCTTGACATGCAGCTTACGCCTCATGTCGAGCACCGAGAAGAAATTCTCCCGTTCACTTAGTGGGATAGGGGCCAAACTAAGAACTACGCTTGCGTCAAATCACGCTTCCGTTCTACCAAGGGGCCTTTCTTATAAAAACAGATTTTGAACCACTAACATTTTGCCTCTTTGTTTCGTTTCAGGATGACGACGAACAGAAAATGGCAAGTAAGTTACACGTCACACCGTCTCTGATTCACTGTTTAAAAGAATCTTGGAAACTCACTGGTAAAACTAAAGAGTAACTCTATGCTTGAGTCAAGCATAAAGTTACGCTTAAAGACATTACGCTTGAAATGAAGCATAGACTAGAAATTCCCCCATGCATTTATGGGGAAACTTGGCGGATGAGCCTGTCACGCTTGATTTCAAGCGATTACACACTAAATGTCATGGGACTTTTTTTGTCCCACGATTTATGCAATTCTAAGCACATCCGACGCTGATACAATTTTGTTCCCGTCTGGCGACACATTTTGTCCGACGCCTGCTGCAAATTGTACTATTACTAGACAATTTGTCCCGCCTGGCGGACACAAAATTGCATCACCACCGGATGTGCTTAAAATTGCATAATTCATGGGACAAAAAAGTCCCATGACATTTAGTGTGTACGCTTGAAAACAGAGGGTAATACTACGCTTTAGTTTTACCAGTGTTCCCGGAGAACTTGCGGGGAAAACAACTGCCTCCTATCCTCGGAAAATTTTGAATGAAATTCCAGCAGGTGTAATTTCAAAAAATCTTTTTGAAACACGAAGCTTTACGGAAATTTCCAAAGAAGCTTCCGAACGCACTTTCGGGCTCTTTCAATTTAATTTTAGCTGTGTTTTGCGGCAGTCCTCTAGCAGTGCCCCTTCTGACGCTCTGCCTTTGCTTGCCCAGTGCTGCGCAAAGCCTTCCAGATGTTCGACACCACCAAGTGCGGCTCCATCGAGACCATCAAGATCTCCACCATCCTCAACACCCTGGGGCTGCTGTTCGACGACGGCGAGCTGCAGAACATCATCGCGGAGGTGGACTCGGACAGTGAGTGCTCGTGAGAGTGCAATCTTGAGAGTGTAGACCGCCTGAAAGTTGGGCAAAAATCCATACTCCGCCCGTCAGTGGGCAAAAAGTATTAGTGGCCCCAACGAACGCCTCTGGACCCACCACTGTGTTCCCCCTCCCCCTTAAATCCACATTTGGTCCGCAGGCGCCGGCAAAGTAAACTTCGATGGGTTCTGCGAGATTGCCGCCAACTTCCTGGAGGAGGAGGACAGCGAGGCGATGCAGGAGGAGCTCAAGGAGGCCTTCAGGCTGTACGACAGAGAAGGTGAGGCCCGGCATTCTTGGCAGCGTCGTTCGAGATTAGTCAACCTTTTGACGACGAAGACAAAGTAATGGGAGCCTCTGTTGGCATGCGGCGGCCGCCCGGCGCCAGCGCCTTACCTACCCTGCACGTTCAGCTCCAATTCGTCACCCGCGCCCCTTCCTCTCCCACTGTCTCCGAGCCAAGTCTACCTACGCACTTGTTTATATACTCTCACTGCGCATAAATCTTGACAGATTCGTACACATGTAAGCTATGTAAACTTTAATACACATAAATTAGGGTCCGCGTGATGCTTTAAAAATTGTACCCGAGGCATGTACATAACTTACACTTGCTCACGTCCATACTTATGTACCAAAAGTCCATGAGCATTTTGTGTGTGTTGTCTGCATGCTTCACGATGTTGCAGGCAACGGATACATCACCACCAAGACGCTGAAGGAGATCCTCGCGGCGCTGGACGACAAGCTGGGCAATGACGACCTCGACGGCTCATCCACGAATCGCAGGAAACGGATACGGTCACCACGAAGACGTGGTAGGCGCCCTAAGCGGGCTCCAAAATGCGGGGCCCAATGACGACCTCGACGGCATCATCCAAGAAATCGACACGGACGGATCGGGGACGGTCGACTTCGACGGTAAATAACGTGGTTCAGACGTCTAAGAACTGTCTACTTCGTGCTTCACTGCGTCATTGGCCCTGTGGCTCCATGCCGCGCCAATGCGCTCAGTACTTGCCTTAACTTGCACATGTAAGTGTGTACAGTACTCAGTAGACAAGTTTGTTGTGTCATCGCAGCCAGAAGTAGGCTCTGTGATGCATGCATCGATGGACAACGGATTCAACGTAAAATTCTCACTCAAATCGGCGTAATATGGAGTAGAGAATCGATTTCTGGCAGAGTAGAAACTGGGGGGGGGGGGGGGTTATGCACTCGCGTAATGGTCGGGTCACTCAGTCTACAATATTACGCGTCATAGCTCGCGCAATAGTGGCGTAATAGTCGGAATTCACGAATTTTTACCTATTTTTGAGGGTGTTTTCAGCTAAATCACGATTATTTTGAGGCGTAATAGAGCGAAATAGCTGGTAATAGCGTAATAGTTGGGTCACAGGTTTTAAGAGTGCATACCCCCTCGGTAGAAACACACAAAAAAAAAACAACTGTAAATATTTTTCTAATTTTTTTCTGTTTATTTTTTTCTTTTTCCGAGTTTAGAGTTCATGGAGATGATGACGGGAGAATAGTTGGACTAGGCCGCCGATCATTCCCGCAGCCGTTGCATGCCGCGTTGATCAAGACGCGGAGAAGACAAACTACGAAAAGAGGGAAGACAGACCAAAGACCGCCAGAGGTGGCTTGAAGAGACGTGAGCCGTGGGAGCCTCCCAACCAACTGACCAAATGAACTAATTGCAAATGCATTTTGTACGTAAGAGCACGACTGTTCGAAAATAAATTAAAGCTATTTTCGTAATTAAGTCTTGTTTTTAGTACTCCTTTCATTCCTTGGCTGTCATTCCAGTTCAGTTTGCACGTGTCTATGGACACGTGCACACAAACTACACGCAAGTACACCGGAAAAAGGGTCTTTAATTGGCTGCTCCGACCGGCTCGGAGAAAAAACAGTCCGGCCCGGGGGCATCGGCTTGTGTGTGGCTAACTATTTCCTGCCGGGACAGCAGTGTTTTTGTGATGCCAGTGGTTCACCTGGTGTGCGGACATGTCCGCCAAATCTCCAGGAGCCTGTCAAGTTGCGTTGGAGTCAGTCGCGGATCCAGGGGAGGGGGGACGTCCCCCCCTTTTTTTTCTCCTGAAGGCGGCGAAGGGAGGGCAATAGTATGATGCATCTTGCGAATCCTTCGTTCGTACCGGCGTCCGAGGACTTCCCGCGATCTTGACCAACATCTTGCGTATGCAGCACTCCGGGTGACCCTAAGAACGCACCGGTGGCAGCAAATCCATCCGACCCGGGGCGTTGCAGGTGATCATGTTACATGGGGTCGAGAGATCTCGGCAACATACGCTAGCAACATGTAGGGGTATCATCTGAACGTCGTGTGGCGACAGCCAGACTTAAAACCAATGTGCCAATTTCAACAAATCGAAGGTTGGACCGGTTCAAATTCAAGTGAGAATTTTGCCACACGCGAATCATTGAGATCACAAATCCACGCCAAATCCTATGTCAGGCAGAATGGGCAAAACAGACTGAAAACGCCACACTACGTCTCTGAACGTCAAATTCAGCTGTATTTGCCATTCTCGAATCCCATGCGTCAAGTTTTGCAAAATCACGCAAATTATTCAAAATCACGTGAATTACGCGAATCATTGCGTTTTCCGAATCATGTGTACACGAAAATCTCGAGTTTTTGCCCCCTCGGTTGCTGGGCGTACTCAGGCGTGCTTGCGGACGGCAGCGGGGCTTCCACGGATTTCACTCGCTCGATTCTGTGCCGCCCTTATTGAATTGCCACTGCGGGCTCAAATTAGTGCCATCACTGCCAATCCAAGTGTGAGACAGTCTCACACTTGTAGGTGTGGGACATTTTGTCTCACGCTTACAAGTGTGAGCCACGTTCGTCTCACGCTTGCAAGTGTGGGACAACGAAGTCTCACATTTGCAAGAGTGTGAGACACAGCTTGTTCCACACTTGCTGCCCATGCTAGCTCTGTGGTTCATGCCACGGGTCCTACGCCTACAGTGTAGGACAAACCGTGTCTCACACTTACAAGTGTGAGACATCGATTTCTCACACTTCCTAGCGTGAGACAAAATGTCCCACATCTACAAGTGTGAGACTGTCCGACACTTGGATTGGCGGTGATTCTTTTGCCAATAGTTGCACCACCACCGTCAACGGGGGTAACTTGGGACACCAGGGGTAACTTGGGACAGTCTGTCCTGTACAGCTTGTTGGTGCTGCCATTCAGCGACGGGGGTTCCTAGCGTCAAACCCGCGGCAGGGTTTTGTTTCAGAGGCCTCAGGGCACGCGCGGAAAGGTAGAAAAGGTGCATAACATCACAATTAGTATTTGAGAAACGGGAAACTAAATAATAGGGTTTTTAACAGTCAAACATTGACACTTTGACCCTAGTGCAAGGAGTGAAATTCAGATTTGGCCGATTAGTCTCTCTGGATTGTAAGATCATACGCAGACAATAACGTTCACAAAAGGGCGTTGATTATAGTTTTCCCATCTTCGGTCCAGACTTCAATTTATCAAAAATCGAAATTTTACGGGGTAACTTGGGACAGTCTTTTCCTCATGTTTCCAGCAGTCCTAGCCTTCTAGGAGTTGACTGACCCGGTCCCTGACATAACTTACACTTCGGATTTTACGCTGATGATGGAAAGAGATGCCTTGCTCTGCAGTTTTGTCTTCTGGTAATCCATATTTTGAAATTTCCAGATAATGCTTGGATAATACCAGTAGAAAAGAGAGTTCCACGTAGAGCCCTAGATATAGTCTCATATCGGTCCTACAATAGTTCCTAGGCCTGAATTCTTGGTCTACATGATGTGACTTAAATTTATTACATCCATTAACATCATTAGATGCATGGGAATGTAGCTAATTACCTACTGTCCCAAGTTACCCCCGGTCATGGGGTAACTTGGGACACTCTTTCGAGACCGCTGGGAAACGATATAATCGAGGCAAATGAACCAGACAAGCATGAAATCATGGGGAAAGGGTCAAACTTTAACATAGTTGGGATCCATTTGTCTGGGTTGAGAATCTTGCCTCTGGCGTTCAAAAAACGTGAAAAAGTGTCCCAAGTTACCCCCGTTGACGGCACTGACTTGTGTGAATCCCGGTCAATAACGGCACAGAATCGTCCAGAAGCGTAATCTGTGGAAGCCCCGTTCTGGCGTGCGTACGCTGGGCCCGCTGGGCCCGGTAGGCTGGCCGGCCCACCCGGCGCTGGACCGGCCGGACACGGCGGCTACGCGGCTAGGGTCGAGGCTGGGCCGGATGAGGCCCGCACGAGCCGCCAGTCTCCGACGCCAGAATTAAGGAAAAAACATCCAAATAAAAATAGATGCTTTTATTGGCTCGATGGGTGGACATTTTGGATCTTGTCGGCATACTACTCGATGTACACTCTCTTCAGCGTGTACTCTCGCGAGGAGAGTGCACTTTACACTACACTCCCGGACAAGTATATTGAGTACTACTGTTAATCAGTTTGCTGAATTTCCAGAAGTTTCAAACACTGTTGAGTTCCCAGCACACTGGTAAAACAAAGGCATAAAAATTACGCCCTTTAGGGCATAAATACTCTTTAACGCCCTTGCAAGGGCATAAATCGTTTATGCCCTTGGGACGGGCGTCAATGGTATAGGAATTTCAAGCAAAATTTTAATGCCCTTCTCCAAGGCTTTAACGATTTATGCCCTTTAAGGGCGTAAATCGTTTACGCCCTTAAAGGGCATAATTTTAATGCCTTTGTTTCACCAGTGCAGTGTTGAGTTTGCTGCGTATCCAAGACTTTTGCTGAGTTTCCAGAAACATCCACATTTTGGCGCGAACACGCCCACGAGAACGATCCGGCAGGCTTGACACGCTTGACTTGTCCGCGGGCAAAAACTTGTTTTTGGAATGAGAAGGTCCAGCTAACTATCCACAATCACGGACAAAAAAATGGCTCAGGGTCCATGCGTCCACTACACTGCTCGAGACAAGTTAATTACGCCCATCGATTTTGCCAACTACCCAGCCAGAATTAGGTGTTCGAAACGACGTCGATTCGAACACCCAATTCTGGCTGGGCCTAATTCTAGTGGTTTTAAGAAGCATTACAAATAAAGATACAAAGTAGTAGTAACTTGTGTGTACTGCATTCAACTTTGCCGCCGTTACCAATGTGTGTGTATGCGTGCGTGTGTTAAGGGGGGGACAGTCCCTCATAATTCGCCGAATATTCACGATGATTTCGGAGTTATTTTGCTTTATTTTGAAGGTTTTTTCGGACTCTTTCGGAGTTATTGCGTTGGTGGGCGTACAAATCCGAGTTATTCCGCGAGTAAAATAACGCTGCTCGATTCCGAGGGTAAATTTTGCCCTCCCAGTAACCCGATCCTTCCAAGATCATCGAGCTTGGGTAGGGTCTGGTGACGTCATCATAGAACGTCAGAGCCTGCCGGTCTACCAATAGGGTATTTTCCTTCGCGAAAGACGCTATTTCCTTTCCAGGTGAGTGACCGATTGACGTCATCTCCTAGCTGGGCCCTGTCTCCCGATAAATAGGCCATTCCTTTGCTCGAAAAGAGGAAGAAAAGAAGAACACACTTCCGTCCGCCCGGGACTGCGGGGCAGGTGCGGATTCAGAGAGAAAAAAAGGGGGGGCAATTGAGGCGTCATCCCCTGCCTGCCAAGTGGGCGAAGTGTCGCACTTTGCTCCCATAGGTAGTCAACTTTTGCGATATGCCCCTCCCCCCCTTTCCCCCAAACCAGTCTCTGCCTGCCGCACCTGCTAGGGGAGACGAACTAAGGGGACTTCCGCTGACTCTCTTTGCCCCCGCCAGCGGTATGACCTACAATGGGTGCTATTTTTTACATCGAAATAAAAAGGAAACAATTTGTCTTAATGGTGACGGGGACGAAATACTATCAGTTTCAAAAAAAGCCCAGCCTCTCGCTCGAGTTATCTCGAGAAGAGCACCTCGTGCCAAAGCCAACGCCTGTGGCACTGCGAGGTAGGCAACCCATTTGACACGCCTGCACGAAGGGTGGCCTAAGTTGCCTACGTTGTCGCGGGGGGGACGAAGACGAAACGTTCTTCCTACCACACGAAACCGTTTAGATCCTGTGATTTGATGACCGTCGACATCCTTAGACATCCAATGGCTTTCCTTCCAATTTCCTTCCAGTGGAACATTTGACTTCACATTCCATTTCCAAACATTCCCGCGAATCATTTTCTGTGTTTGTATTTTCGCGGTGAATCCGACCCGTCTCGCTGCTAGAAGGCCGTGATCGAGTTACCGCCTTTCAAGAGTTCTGAAAACTGCCTGGATCCCCACCAGCCAAGGAGGCTTGATAGTAGGAGTGCCAATAGGATTCGACCAATCACAGAAGAGAAAGCCCCTTATCGCGGTTGCGCTTCCACCGATCCAGTAATCCTCCTTCTTTTCAACCTTTCGGCCGTCTGTTCTGTTTGCAGTCTGTTTGGGTGGTTCTGCCCTTTAGGCCCTTGAGCTGGGCGGGTCGGTAAACTTTGTTTACATGCTGCAATTCTCGTGAACATTTTCTGGGAGAAAATGGGTTGTGCGGAGTTTTGCAGAAAGAGGCGCAGAAGTCAGTTTACGGTGAGCGTCTTGTCTTCCGTGGGGCTGGGGCCCCGATGGGGGCCCACTGCCCACCACTGTGTGAATCATCCCATGCTTCCACTGTGTGGTGCTGTGTACTTGCTTCCTTGTTTTGATGTTTTGCGGTAGAGGTCACTCTATCTGCCTTACCACTATCTAGTCTTTCAGAGCATTCAATGCAACGCTGAAGCGCATTGACTTCAAATTCATGATATTTGTTTGCTGGTTACAGAGCATGGGGGATCACAATAAATTCTCTTCGAGAATCAAGAAGAGTTTGTACTATGGTCAACTGCCTAGCTCTGATCGATTGAGTCTTCCTGTAACAGGTAAGGCGAACGAACTATTCATAGGATGCATTTTAAACTTCATTTGGACCTAGAAGTAACTCTATTGTGTATGTTTGACCTTCAAAGAACTAGCTACGGAAATATTCTCTGCTGCTCAACGGAACCATAGTCTTCAGCGCTTGGAACTGCAAGAGGCATCTGATGTCTCTCGTAGTGCTTGCGTGTCTCCATGCTCATTGGTACTGGCCATGTTATACCTGGAAAGATTGCAGACGTCTCGCCCCAGCTACTTACGTGAAACCTCCCCTTCAGAGTTGTACCTAGTGTCTTTGGTATGTGTTCTGATGTTAACATTTTTAACTTTTACCTCTGTAATATTTTATTATCTCACAGGTTCTCATTTGATTTTGTTGACATTTTCAGATGGTTGCTACCAAATTTCTGCAAGATGATGGTGAGGAAGACGGAGTTATCAATGAAGAATGGGCCACATCGGCAGGAATCACTACAAGTCAGCTTAATCAGCTTGAAAGAGACTTCCTCGATGCAATTGCAAGTATTCCCTCTCTATGTTCAGACTGTTTTTGAACATTCTTTGAAAAATAACATTTTGCATCTGTTTTTAGGAGTGGGAAGTTTATGTTAGTGAAGAAACATTTTGGACACGGCTCAGAGGCTTAGAAAGAGATGTTGCACTCAATGAAGGTGTTAGAAGAGGGTGGTTTTCATATGCTGATTTGGACTGTCTTTTGGAAAAGGTTGATCTTGCATCTTTGGCTCACTCTGTTCTCACTGTAAGTCTTGTTTTACCTCTACCCTATATAACTGTATTGTATTTACACTTTCAGTGTTTGTTTCTCCCCTAATCCATTTTTATTGTACCCAGGTATCTGCTGTCTGCCTTACAAGTTACACTGCAAGTGTGTTGACCCTTATTGCTTCAACTCTGCTCGTCAGTCATCTTCAACCTCTCATCCATGGATTAAGCGGTCTGAGTCAAACCAGCCTCAACTCGTCAACTATGCCAATTCAAGCTGATCAAGTGCCCTCTGATTCTACTATGGATCCTAGCTTCTCCCCTCCTAACTACCAGTCGCCATTAGATGTCCTGACTACAAGCTTTATATTAGCTTCAATCAGCTCATGCCAAGGACGTCTTGCTAATGATTCCACTAATTGCTTGGATGATTCTAAACCCTCTGGCGACACCCTAAGGCATGCCCTCCTTGGAAATTTTGAAGAATTATCAATGCAGGACAATGTGGAACCGAATTTTAAGTTTTCTTCCTGGAGTGACCCTGGATCCATTTCTTGGTTCAAGTGGATTAAAGACCTCAAGAGATGGTTCAGGACCCCAATAGTTGAAAGTTTTGACACTCCCCCAGATTGGGCCGCATCTTTAAGTTATCGCATTGATAGAGGATCTTCTCAGTCCCGTCTGATTCCCCTTCAAGTTTATTAATTATACCTTCTGTACCTAGCAAGAGCTAAAGGCTGAACCAAGCATTCAAAATGTTTTTTTTTTTTAATCCCTTTCTAATGTGTTATGACAATTTTTTTTCATTTTTCTGAAAGTTTTTTTGGGTGCTATTTTGTTAAAGGAGAGATGTGTGTGATATTCTCTTGAGCCAAATAACTACGCTTTTCATTTTGTAAGGTGAAACCATTTTCTTCTATTTAATATTATGTTTATTTTGAAGGTTGTGTACAAGATCAATTAAAGGATACGGCATTAATCGTAACAATAAACTATGTATTTAAAAAGAAATTATTTCAGGGGACTCATTGACTTCACCCTCTTTAAAAAGACAGCAAATTTTATTATAAGGACAGACACATGTTTTACCATATTATGTAACACAAGATGGTGACAAACAGTTTATTCTCAAAAGAGAATACCAAGTAAACATTTCAAAGTTCAAAAATCTTATTGCCTGCAAGAAAATTAATGGTCCAAGAAAATACCCACTTCTTAACATGGACGAACTTGGTTTCAATGAAAGCAGTACTGCTATCCTTCCTAGTATTACCAGCACCCTCACATAGATATGGCACAAGATCCAGTGCAGTGCTGACTTTCAAACCCTGCTGACTCCTTCAAGAGAGCACATGGCAAGTAAAAATGTATCAGCATACACCAAAAAAAAAAAAAGAGGACAGTACAGAGTAACTGCACCATTCAGATAGTTTGAAAATTATTTCTATGGACAGGACAAGTTCAAGGTTTATAAGTCAACAATATCACTACAGGAATATTCTTGAAACTGACAACAGGGCAGCTAATTATTAGTTTTCTTCTACAAAGTGATATGACATCAGCTTGATTAACAAATTGACTGTGATGTGACAACAAGTATGGTCACTTCCCTTACAGTCAAAATTGCCCAAGTCAACTGGTTAAAAACCCTGAAAGTGTAAAGGACACGCTAAGACTGAACATTAAATCTCTAGTAAACATAAGTCTACATCCCTATTAACGAGATAGACGCCAAATAACATGAGACAAGAACGTAACAAAATAATCAAAGCAAGCTGCTCTTTTTTTTTAGATTCACTCCCACACTCTCACCGCAAATTAGCTGTAACAAGGTATAAAAATAATAAAATGTTTAAAAAAGGGCAAGTAACATGAAGCACCAATCATGAAGCATCAGACTAGAATTGATGTAACATTAACAGTTGATATTAAATTATTACAAGTTAATAAAACAAGAAATAAAAGAACATTACAGTCACTGTGAGACATTAATTGCAGCTTCAAGCATACTTTGAAAGTACGTAGAGTAATATGTACAGTACACAAATAATAAAAACACCCAAGAGTCTAACAGTATTTGAGATGTTAACAAACAGGAGAAACGTTGGTAATAATGACATAAAACCAAGAAAATTTGGTTGAATAAACTATTTTTGAAACTAAAACAAGCATGTACACCAAAATTTGAGAAATTGACCCTTAACAAATTCGTATGATGAGAGAATTTTCGGGCAGGTTAACATGTGGCAGTACATGATTGCAAAACAAGCCAATAATGATTTTGATGGAAATTAGCTAACCACAACACACAAAATTTGGAGTTTTCCAGTCATTCACAGACAACAGCATTATCAATAAGAATTAGAGTTCTATAAAACTTAAGCCAACAAGAGACAACAATAACTTTTAAGGAACAGTCAATAAATTTTAGAAGTGAAAGACAAACTGTTCAAGTCTTCACGCCTTACAGACTGTCACAGTCCTTAAACCTTAAAATTTTAATCTTTTTTGTACCATAGATGGTTGTGATCTAAATCTATCAATGAAGTAGTCTTTAAAAGAAGTGCAAAGGTTGCACTTTTACCAAGTTGCCAAAAAGTTCACAATGGCAAGAGATTGGTCCAAGGCAATAGATAGCAGAAAATAAATAACTTCTATGTAGCAATGGGTTCTAGAAAGCACCTCATAGTAGAATAAAGGCAATCTACATTTTTTATACTTAAGTTAATCACACAGCCTTACCAAGGAGAAAATTAACTATAAATATATATTTATTTGACATGTTACCTAATGGACCTTGTAAGATGCAACGAATAGAGCTCAGTTGCAGCTAAAATAGAGTTTACAGACAGAGCTAAGAAGTACTTAGGATGGCCCCAGACCATAGATAAGAAGACAAAAATTTGAAGTCAGAAGTTAAATATTAGTTTCAGAAATATGAAACTCAAAAAGTAATTGTTTGCCAAACAAATTCATGCTTCATACAGCAGCAATAGTCTCTTGCTTAGTTTCTTTTGTAGCTTCAGCGTCATTCTCTTTGTCTTTGTCTTTATTCATAAACAGAAGAGGTAACATTCCCAAGAGACAGCCAATAGTCACACCACCGCACCGACCCTAGGAAAAATACAAAGATAAAGAAAGGTGACCGAGGTGTTTATGTAGTCAAATTATTATCAAGACATTATGACTCGGATCACATACCATATTAGCAGCCCAGCGACTCCTATTCATGGTGAGCTGTATAGGTGAGAGGTTTGGAGGTTTGATACCAATTTTGGTAGCCAATGACTCCACATACCATGCTGAGCCAATGCCCATAATGTCAGAAAAGGTATTGCCCAGCGCAGCAGCAGCCATTGTGGATATAGTGATGACTGATCCTAACATGAGCTCAATATAATCCCCCTGAAATATATTAATCATTCAATTTTCATCATTTTGTAAAAGACAAGATAATAAGATAAAGATAACAGTTATAATTTATTTGATAAGGGCAAGACAAAAATCAACTCACAGCTATGATCATAATGGCGTTGTCCAAAAACCCAAAACCAACAAATGGGATAGCATTGTGTACTCCAACTGTAAAAATAAGTTAACATGGTTAATATTTATCATTCTTGAAAATATCCTTCCATCCTCCTTCAACCCATTTTTCTAAAAACAGCTCACCTGAAAAAAGTTGCTTTGAAGTAGGTTTTGGAACAGTTTCAGCTAGAACAGAGAGTGATTAAGGTGGATTCAGTCACACAATCAATGGCAATAGAAAAGCTAAGAAATACCAATGGACAAAAAGACTTAGTGGCAATAGTCGGAGTGGTTCTACAGAGGTTGATAAAGGAAAACAAATAATACAGAACTGAAAGATTTCACTGAATTAGGGAGCACTAGCACTTTCCTATGAGAGAAGACTCAAACATGTTCTCCCCTAAACAACACTTATGTATACTCACGATTTTCCTCCACTATGAAAAAGTAGCAGCAGAAGGGAAATATTTAAACAGGTGTTAAATAACTACATTTGAGTGACAGATTTGAGAATAATCAGCTTCTACCAGAAAAAATTACACAAGAGACTTACTTTGTTTTTCCACTGTCAAATGCAGCAAAGGATAATATTTTTTTAAGTCAAAAGGAAACTGGGTAGAGATGGTTGATGATAAATTTTTCTCTTGAAAATAATTAAAATAACTACTTACCATATTTTCGCATCAGCCAATCCTCAGGAACTGGACAAAATGTGCCAGTTGGATCGACGTCACCAACATTCGGAACCTTGGAGGGCCTGCCAAATTTAGACCTCCAGCGTATAGCAGCAAGCTGACCTGAAGAAAATTATACACATAAATTTTAATGTGACTAAATGTGTAGGAAAAGGAACAAATTGCTGTTGAGCTCAAAGAAAAATTAACATGAATAATTTAACCAAATAAAAATGACAACCAAAAACTACCAGAAAATGCTATAATTTGAATTGAAAATGACAGGTACAGTGGGTGATAAGCAGATCAGAAAAACAGAAAATTGGAAAATCCTTCTCACCCTCATACTCAGATTTGACCTTCTTGGCCTGATAATTCTGCAGAGCAGACAACAAAATGGTTCTCTCCTCTTCAGTGAACCGCAGTACTAGTTCGTCGGCCTTCTCGAGATCCAAGTGCTCCACACTCTGTCCGCTCGCGCTCCTTGCACTGGCACTGCTAAAAGCTATCCTATTCTTTTGGAGTCCCGACGGGGTTAGGGGGCGACATTTGAGCAGCCGAAAAAGGGTCGGCCGCGGGGCGACACAGGCCACTGCGGCCCCGAGAGGCATGACCGTGGAAAAGTGCATTTAGTTCGAGTCAAGCTTCCGTCAAAATGGGAATTTATCGTCTAAAACCGGGGCTCTAACTCATGACTTAACAGGACAGGCAGTACCGCAACTAGAACATCCCTCCCACAAGAATTCAAGGGGGAGGTGAGGTTTGGCCACGAACCGCGGCCGGAGCGGACGACACGACGGACAAGCAAAACAAACAGTTGAGCGGCGTTCAGGCGCACCGAAGCGGTGCGAACTGACAACGGAAAGACAGGCAGTCTGTTTATTCCAATTTTCTCTGAACGCAACCTTAGTTCTTAGCCAAGCAGTTGTTTCAACTGCATGGCTTGGATTTTTTAACTGCATCGAGCTATTATTTTGTTTATTTGAGTGGTATTTCAAAGGCAACATCATGTACGAAGTGGATGACGGTAAGCGGCTTGGTTATGAATCTCTTGTTTAAGCTAAATAAATTGTACATTACTTTTGTTTGTCGTCTCACGATTCAAAAAGTAATCTATCTCATCATGTACTTATTTTTACACGTATCCTCTTAACGATTTTTCTTTGTCTAAACTCTTTATGAATGTACCACGTAGGTTATGTTGTTGTGTTGCTTTCTTTGCAGATAATTTTGAAGATGAGGAGATGGAAGAAATTTCGTCGGAGCTGTGGCAAGAAGCTTGTTGGATTGTCATCAACGCCTACTTTGACGAAAAGGGCTTGGTCCGGCAGCAGTTGGATTCTTTCGATGAATTCATTCAGATGTCCGTTCAGCGTATAGTTGAAGATTCACCACAGATTGATCTTCAAGCAGAAGCACAGCATACATCTGGAGAGATTGAAACACCGGTAAAAACCTTCTACTTCATCCGAGACTTTTCTTCTTAAATTGTGGCTGTCACTAATACTAAAACTTTTCTTTTGTTTTTAGCCCCGATACCTTCTGAAGTTTGAGCAGATCTACCTTTCTAAACCAACTCATTGGGAGAAAGATGGTGCTCCCTCTCCTATGATGCCCAATGAAGCAAGGTTGAGAAATCTCACCTATTCTGCACCGTTGTATGTCGATATCACTAAGACTATTGTAAAAGAAGGAGAGGAACCTATTGAAACTCAACACTCTAAAACTTTCATTGGTATGTTTTCTTTGCTTCTTGTGTTCTTTTTTATTTAGGAGTTCATGAGTACGCATTGTAACTAACTCTACTTGTCATGATTACTTCAGGTAAAATTCCTATTATGCTTCGGTCAACATATTGCCTGCTAAATGGACTGACTGATCGTGATTTGACTGAATTAAATGAATGTCCGTTGGACCCTGGTGGCTACTTTATTATTAACGGATCAGAGAAGGTATATTTCTAGCACTGTAGTACAGTTGTAGTACTTTCCACTGTTAAAGGTGCTGATCTTAAAGGTTTTTGTATCTTTCAGGTTCTAATTGCTCAGGAAAAAATGGCTACAAATACTGTCTATGTGTTCTCAATGAAAGATGGAAAGTTTGCCTACAAATGTGAAATTCGTTCATGCCTGGAACATTCCTCTCGACCAACGTCCACACTTTGGGTCAACATGATGGCCAGAGGTGGACAGGTATGTTGTTTCAATTTCATCTAAGATTTTTCCTTTATAGTTATCACCTGTCTTACACATTTTTAACAATTTCAACAGAGCATCAAAAAGTCTGCCATCGGTCAACGTATCATTGCTATCCTTCCATACATCAAGCAAGAAATTCCTATCATGATTGTTTTTCGTGCCCTTGGGTTTGTCGCAGATCGTGATATTCTAGAACACATTATCTATGATTTCGATGACCCTGAAATGATGGAAATGGTAAGGAATCATAAATTAGTGCTCAATAATGTTGATGTAATCATTGTAATGTTTCACATTTTTATACTGGATTGTTTTGTAGGTGAAACCATCCCTAGATGAGGCTTTTGTCATTCAAGAACAAAATGTTGCCTTGAACTTCATTGGTGCTCGTGGTGCAAGGCCTGGTGTCACCAAAGAAAAACGTATCAAGTATGCTAAGGAAATCTTGCAAAAGGAAATGTTACCTCATGTTGGTGTGTCTGATTTCTGTGAAACAAAGAAAGCTTATTTCTTAGGGTAGGTTTGGATTCTTCATGTAGTAGCATCTTTGGCTTTTGCAACTCCTTAACTCTAATTTCTGAATTATTTGTTTTTGTTTCAGGTACATGGTGCACAGATTGCTCCTTGCAGCGCTGGGTCGCCGCGAGTTAGATGACCGGGATCATTATGGCAACAAACGGCTTGATCTTGCTGGTCCCTTGCTAGCCTTTCTTTTCAGAGCGTGAGTTTTTTTTCTTTTTTCATCTTACTCATTTCTTTTCAATAGTATTATTTCCAATAACATTTTTGATACATTAAATACAGACTTTTCAAGAATCTCATGAAAGAAGTGCGCATGTACGCCCAGAAATTTATTGATCGAGGAAAAGATTTCAATCTTGAGCTGGCTATCAAAACAAAGATCATTACTGATGGTTTACGTTATTCCCTTGCCACTGGCAACTGGGGTGATCAGAAGAAAGCCCATTTGGCAAGAGCTGGTGTCTCTCAGGTATGTGATGGTCTAAATGAGCATGCTACTGTTCTGAAATCTACAATGTGATTTACAATACCCTCTGTGCTCTTGCAGGTGTTGAACAGACTCACTTTTGCTTCAACTTTATCACATCTTCGGCGTGTCAATTCCCCCATTGGTCGAGATGGTAAACTTGCCAAACCTCGTCAGTTGCACAATACACTGTGGGGTGAGTACCATCATTATTTTTAATTTTTTTGGTCTTTGTGGCTGTTGTTTAGTTTTCTTACTCTCTAACTATTATCCTTTCTTCTTTCTGTGTAGGAATGGTGTGCCCTGCTGAGACACCTGAGGGTGCTGCTGTAGGACTTGTGAAAAATCTTGCTCTTATGGCATATATTTCTGTCGGATCTCAGCCATCTCCTATTTTGGAGTTCTTGGAAGAGTGGAGTATGGAAAATTTGGAAGAAATTGCACCATCTGCCATAGCAGATGCCACAAAAATATTTGTAAATGGGTGCTGGGTAAGTTGTTTTTTTTTTGTTTTTTTGTTTCAAAATTGAATGAGCCATTATTGGCTGAGTTAGCAACTTGAGATACCGTAGAAATCCTTTTCTGTCTGTTTATTTTTCTGATGGTACCTTTCTTTCCAAATTGTTTCGCTGAAAACTTGGGCTTGTGTCTGTTTTCTTCCAAGCTAACTTTTTACTTTTGGGTTTGTACAGGTTGGTATTCACAGAGATCCTGAACAGCTCATGGCCACCTTGAGAAAACTTCGTCGACAGATGGACATTATTGTATCAGAAGTGTCGATGATCCGAGATATTCGAGACCGTGAAATCCGAATTTACACTGATGCTGGCCGAATTTGTAGACCTTTGTTGATTGTGGAGAACAGTCAGTTGTTGCTCAAAAAGAGAAACATTGACCAGTTAAAAGAAAGAGATTACAATAATTATGGGTTAGTATTTCTACAGTTTATCACCAACCTATGTTATTACCTCAAGAAATATTCCTATTTTACATTATTTCACTTCCCAATTTTCAGGTGGCAAATGCTGGTTGCTAGTGGAGTGGTGGAGTACATTGATACTCTTGAAGAAGAAACTGTAATGATTGCAATGTCTCCTGATGATCTAAGGCAAGACAAGGAATATGCCTACTGTACAACTTACACCCATTGTGAAATCCACCCTGCCATGATTTTGGGTGTTTGTGCATCCATTATTCCTTTCCCTGATCACAACCAAAGTCCCCGTAATACATATCAGGTATGCCTTTAACCTTTAGACTTATGATGTGTGTATCTTGTGATTGTTGTTCATTTTCTATGAAACTGTTTCAGAGTGCCATGGGTAAACAAGCTATGGGAGTGTACATTACAAATTACCATGTCCGGATGGACACCCTAGCTCATGTACTCTACTACCCACACAAGCCCTTGGTCACAACTCGTTCTATGGAATACCTTCGGTTCCGAGAACTTCCTGCTGGAATCAATTCGGTTGTTGCCATTCTGTGCTATACTGGCTACAACCAAGAAGACAGTGTCATTTTGAATGCTACTGCCGTTGAACGAGGCTTTTTCCGATCTGTTTTCTACCGATCATACAAAGATGCTGAGTCTAAAAGAATTGGTGACCAAGAGGAACAATTTGAGAAACCTAATCGCAACAATTGTCAGGGCATGCGTAATGCCATCTATGACAAGTTGGATGACGATGGTATCATTGCTCCTGGACTTCGAGTATCTGGTGATGACGTAGTCATTGGAAAAACAATTACGCTCCCTGAAACAGATGATGATGTAAGTCAAGAGTTTACTTCAGTTTTGTTTATGTAGTTTGATTTTTGTGGCAAGTTATTTACTGATAATTTTCTCTTTTTCAGTTGGAGGGCACCACTCGGCGTCACACCAAGCGAGATGCCAGTACCTTCTTACGTAACAGTGAAACTGGTATTGTAGATCAAGTTATGCTCACATTAAACTCTGAAGGCTACAAATTCTGTAAAATCCGAGTGAGGTCTGTTCGTATTCCTCAAATTGGTGACAAGTTCGCTTCTCGGCATGGGCAAAAGGGAACATGTGGTGTGCAGTACCGTCAGGAGGTAAATTGACTTGTGTTGTTTTGCTCATTCCATAATTATTCATAATCAAAGTTATCATGTTTCCCCCTTTTTTCCTCTTCTATTTTAGGACATGCCTTTTACATGTGAAGGACTTACACCTGATATTATCATCAATCCCCATGCTATCCCATCAAGAATGACAATTGGTCACTTGATTGAGTGCCTCCAAGGAAAGGTAATTGTTTTCAAAAGTTGACTCAAGTTGTGTTTGTTTTCTATTTTCTTTCTCCTCATGTTTGTTTTCTCATTTTTTAAAGGTGTCATCCAACAAGGGAGAAATTGGTGATGCAACACCTTTCAATGATGCTGTTAACGTACAAAAAATTTCACAGCTTCTGCAAGATTATGGATATCACTTGAGAGGCAATGAAGTTATGTACAATGGACACACTGGGCGCAAAATTAATGCCCAAGTCTTCTTGGGACCCACATATTATCAACGTTTGAAGCACATGGTGGATGACAAAATTCACTCAAGGGCTCGTGGACCTGTTCAAATTTTAGTTCGACAACCTATGGAAGGCAGAGCTCGGTTAGTAATATTAATTATTTTTTTTTTTAAATTAGGCAATTTTTAACCGAACATTTGTTTAAATATTGAAATATTTTTTAATTTTTCTTTTTACAGTGATGGAGGACTTCGATTTGGAGAGATGGAACGAGATTGTCAAATTGCCCATGGTGCCGCGCAGTTCCTTCGTGAGCGCTTGTTTGAAGTATCAGATCCCTACCGCATTCATGTCTGCAACTTCTGTGGTTTAATAGCCATAGCTAATCTGCGAAACAACACATTTGAGTGCAAAGGGTGTAAAAATAAGACTCAGGTAAGGCACATACACATGTACTTTTGAGTAACAAAAATTATTAAGTAGATCTATCCTCTTCAATATATCAAATTTTATTTTTTCTAGATCTCTCAAATTCGCCTTCCTTATGCTGCTAAATTATTATTCCAAGAACTGATGTCCATGAATATAGCACCTCGTCTCCTGGTCACTCAATAGGATTTTCTCTTGTAACCTGACAAAACCCTTCTTGGGTTCAAAATCATTTATTAATAATAAGAATTGTAGGATTATTTCCCGCCAATCGTTCATTCATTGATTTTATGCATTCATTCTGTACAAAGTCCATTGCCACAAAACTGAAAATAAATGGAACATCTGTAAATACATCTGGTTTCTTTCCCTTCAACCTGTTCCCTAATGAAAACAAGTTTCAAAGAAGATATTTGAGTGCACATTGGAGTCAATTGATGTACTTGTAATCAGAGGGGTGGATCCGTCCCGGAGTCACTTTGTCAGGAAGTCGTTACTGGACGCCTCAGTGATGGGTTCTGGAGCCGGGGCTCAAGGCTGCAGACCAGTAGGGCCTGGCGCGGGTCCGCGTCGTCGTCGTCTCATCGCGCTGCAGACCGATTCGGAGAGTCGTTTTCGTCGCTCTGTCTCTCTCGCACTCAAGGGGCGTCCCTATGAGCGAGAAGAACAGACCGACGAAAACGACTCCCTGATTCAGCGTACAGGTCGCCGCTCACCGGCCGTGCCCCGTGCCTCCGTGCTCTCGAGCGGGAACAGGAACAGGGAAAGTGGCGGGGCTGGGTTCGCGAGGTTCGCGGCGTGGACATGGACGTGGATGCAGGGCGAGGGGCGGCGGGGACGGAGGCCGCCCGGCTAGCACGCACCCACGCAGCAGGCACGGGTACCTTCCTTCATGTCCACGCGGGTGGGTTGGGTCGGGTTCGGCGGCCAGGCTTTGCACAGGCGGGGCCCAGCCCAGCCCGGGCCCACCTGGCGGGGCAGGCTGCATGGCGCGGACTGGCCGTGCCTGTGCCTTGCCCGTGTCGGCGCGGTGGGGCCCATGCCCATGGGCCATCCACGCCACGGTGGGGCTAAGGCTCGGCTCGGCGCGGCTCGGCTCGGCTCGGCGGATCTGCTGAGCAGAGAGTCAGGCCCCACCGCACAGCACAGGCCTGGGCCCCACCAGGCAGCAGGCACAGAGTCGTGTCGTGTCGGCTGGTCTCGTCAAGTCGCGTCAAACCTCGTCTCGTCTCAGTCTCTCAGTGTCCCGCGAAGCCCATCGCGCATCGCGCCGCGGAGTGGAGCGGCCCGAAGCACGGCGGTCGACGGTCGTGTGGGAGGGCCTCCAGGCCGAGGGCCTCCAGGCCTCGCGCGGGCCCGGCCCGGGTCGTGCGGCCATGGACGGCAGCGCCGTGCCTAGCTCCACGGCGACGGTGACGCCGGCGCCGCCGTCGTCGCAAACGGTGCGCAGCCTGCCCGCGTCGCCGCGCGTCAAGGCCAAGAACGAGAAGAACAGCAACCTGCAGCAGAACATCCAGGCCAGCCTCCAGGCGGGGCTGGGCCTCCTGTTCAAGTCGAGCGGCCAGCTCGACGAGGTCGCCAAGGGCAAGGACCACGAGGACGTCAAGAGGAAGCTGCTGCTGCCCGGCCCCACCGGCACCACGTCGGCGGGCAAGAAGATCGTGATCGTGCCGGCGGCCTCCGCGGCCGTGCCACCCGTTGCCGCTGACTCGGTCGTCAGCTCGAAAAAGGCCGCCGTCGAGCCGCCGTCGCCCGCGCTCAGCATACGGAGGCCCGTGGCGGCGGCGGGTCCAGGTTCGAGTCCCGCGCCGGTCGCGGCCTCGCAGCATGACAGCCCGCGGAAGCAGCGGCCCGCCACCGCGCCGACGCCGACGCCGCACGGCGGGCCGCACAGCCCCTTGGCGTTGAGCCGGTGCCCAAGCAATGACGGCGTGCGGACGCCGCCCAGGACGCCGGCCAATGGCCTCGCCAACGGCCCCGTCAACGGCGCGGCCAACGGCGCCGCGACCCCGGCCCTGCAGCCCGCGTTGTCACCGGCGTCGCGCAGGCCGGCGTCGCGCAGGCCGGCGGCCAAGGCGCGCTCAAGGCGCACGTGGACGCCTTCACGCCGGGCTCCGGCCACCGGTTCCGCTCCATGCGCTGCCTCCGGGACGACGGGGCCGTGCCGCCGTCGTCGTGCGCCTCGTGGGCGTCCATGCACCTGCCCGCACTGCCGCCGCACGACGTGCACCTCCCCGGCCACGACCGCCACCTGCTGTCCGACGCCGCCTCCGTGCGCTCCCTGGCGTCCATCGGCATGGGCTCCACGGACGGCCGCAAGCTCACCATCCGCCGCGTGCCCACGTCCCCCACCGAGCTGCTCAACTACTCCATGAACGGCGCCAGGATGTGAGTAATGCCAAGACGGTCACGGCCCGCCGGGGCACGCCAGGGCACGCCACGGCCACCGCGCCGATTTGAGGGCATGGACGCGACACGGCCAGGCGCAGCGCAGCGCTGCGGCCAGGTGGGTCAGGTCACAAATGCGCGCGCGAACACTCACACACGCACACGCACACAAATACACACACTCAAACACACTCCCGCGCGCGGATGCACAGCCGCTGCAGCGCCAGCGCGTCGCGAATCGCGGGCCGACCCGACAGCTGTTTGAGCCGGTTTGACGCACGGCTTATCGCTTTTTGCTCTTCCTCTCCTCCCGTTTCCACTCCTTTCCGAAAAAGACAAGAGCCCCCTCCGCCGCCCCGCCTCCCCGCGGGTCGGATCACGGCATCGTGCCGCTCCTTGCCGCTCCCCGCCCAGCCTTCTCCCTGGCCTAGAGCGTGGCCGCGTGGCCCGTCTCCGGCGAGGCCGTGCCGGTCCTCTTGGAGGTCCGTTCGCATCGCCGTCGTCCACGCCGCGCCGCACAGTGGGCGGGCCAGAAGACCGGAGGGGGCGGCCAAAATTCCGTACGTGTTTTGAGCTCTAGAGTCGCTGAATGGGACTCGAACCGAACGTGTGACCCCACCAATGGATTGCTCTCCGAACGAGGAATCCATTGGTGGGGTCACGCGTTCGGTATGGGTCCAGCCGGCGCCGCGGTCTTCCGGCAAATCCACTGTGCGCCGGCCTCTGCGGCCGCTAATGCCGTCGTCCTCGTGCCTCCGCCCCGCTCCGCCCTGACGTCGACGTCGCACTGTCGCACCCACACCAGGATGTCGAGGGAGTCGCGCCGCGCCGCGAGCACGGCGTATCGCACGTCAGATCAAAATCCTCCGCCACACTGGCAGAAATACGCGTCACACTGCACGCGATACACTTGGCGACGCGGGCGCAGGGCGGCATGTCTCGGGCGCCCGGTTTGCATTTCGGCCCGCTCGTCCGATGTGGCGCCGAAGTGCCTCCGTAAGCACAACAAGCAGCGCACCTAGCAGCCCGTTTGCCGTTCGGCGCGCAGGTGACACCCACGCGTCGCTCTGTCTCTGTCGCACTCACGGGGCGTGTCGTACGGGCGCGAGAGAGACAGAGCGACGAGGGCGCATTTTGGAATCAGCCTACAGAGAGCGCGGGCCACACAGGCCGAGCTGGGCCGCCGCGCGTTGCATATGGCCAAAAGAATAATTACACCTTTTGTCGCCTCGCTGGCCTGTTTGGCCTTCGGGCCTGCCGTACGTGTGCATGCCACCGTGCCACGCGCTGCCACGCCAGCAGACTCATTCCGAGAGTCGGTTTCGTCGCTCTGTCCCTCTCGCACCCATGCGGGACGCCCCGCGAGTGCAAGAGAGACAGCGAGGAACACGACTCTCGGAATCAGTCTGCAGTCGGCGCCGCGCTGTGCTGCAGACTGATTCTGGACGCCGATTTCGTCGCTCTGTCTCTCTCGCACTCGTGGGGCGTCCCGTATAGGAGCGAGAGAGGCAGAGTCGCTGTGCTGCTCGCGGACCACGCGGTACCTGCCGCCTGCTGCCCGCCAGATGCCGAATCCATATGCACGGCCACGCACGCCCTCGCGTATCACGCGCTGCTCCACGGAGTCAATCGGCAGACGAGCTGTCCACACAGACAGACAGACAGACAGACAGACAGACAGACAGACAGACAGACAGACAGACAGACAGACAGACAGACAGACGGACAGACAGACAGGCAGGCAGACAGGCATGCAGGCAGGCAGGCAGACAGACAGACAGACAGGCAGACTGACAGACAGGCAGACAGGCAGACAGACAGACACACAGACAGACAGACGGACGGACAGACAGACAGACAGACAGACAGATGACAGAAAGACAGGCGGGCGGGCGGGCAGGCAGACGGGTGGACGCACGAACAGACTCGGTTACCGTAGCGGCCCCTGTTATACGCTCCAAGCCGGAGCGCCTGCGGAAGTCGAGGTAGGCCGCACCGCAAAGCAGCCCTGTGCCGCGGCGCGGCCTACCCTGGGGATTGCAGGCGCTTTGAGCGGCAGCGGATGGGCGGGCTCCCGACTCTCGCTTCTGAACCATGGAAGTTGGGAGAGTTTACGGACTCCTGGAGATGTCCATGCCCGTGTCATTCATGGACGGCACCACCATGGCTGCACAAGGGAGGCTGCACCATGGAGGCTAGGCTGCGCCATGGAGGGTGCAGCGTGGAGGCTGCACCATGGAGGCAGCGGCATGGACGCACAGGACGTTCAAGGAGCGCCTCGGTGATGTCCACCGGGCATTCCAACAGGGCGGGCGGCAAGACGGACGGACGGACGGGCACGCGGTCGATCTGGAAGACAGGCAGAGCCAGAGAGGCAGAGTCACTTCGCACACACACGCCCGCACACACGCGCAACACTCACACAGAGACTCAGACACGCAACACACAGACACACATTCGCGCACACACACACGCACAGCATTCCCGGTCCGCGGATTCAGGCGCGTCGTCGTCCGTCCGTCCGTCCGCGCGCTGAACTCCAATGAACCTCCGGTCCGGTCCGCTACGACGGCGCGTTCATCAGCGCCGCCAAGCGCCAAGCAGTCAAGCAGTGCCCCGGGCTGCGGGCGGATTCCGAACAGGGGCTTCGTCGCTCTGTCTCTCTCGCACTCACGGGACGGCCCGGCGGCCCGCCGGAGTGCGAGAGAGACAGAGCGACGAAGCACTGTACGACGGCGGCACGGCTCAGCTGGACACGACCCGGCGCGCACCTTGCCCTGCCTTGCCCTGCCCTGCCTTGCCCTGCCTTGCCCTGCCCTGAACTGCCCTGCCCTGCCCTGCCCTGCCCTGCCCTGCCCTGCCCTGCCCTGCCCTGCCCGCCCTGCCCTGCCCTGCCCTGCCCTGCCCTGCCCTGCCCTGCCCGCCCTGCCCTGCCCTGCCCTGCCCTGCCCTGCCCTGCCCTGCCCTGCCCTGCCCTGCCCTGCCCTGCCCTGCCCTGCCCTGCCCGCCCTGCCCTGCCCTGCCCTGCCCTGCCCTGCCCTGACTGCCCTGCCCTGCCCTGCCTGCCCTGCCCTGCCCTGCCTGCCCCGCCCTGCCCTGCCTGCCCTGACTGCCCTGCCCTGCCCTGCCCTGCCCTGCCCTGCCCTGCCCTGCCCTGCCTGCCCTGCCCTGCCCTGACTGCCCTGCCGCCTGCCTGCCCTGCCCTGCCTGCCCTGCCCTGCCTGCCCTGCCTGCCCTGCTCCTGCCCTGACTGCCCTGCCCCGCCCTGCCCGCCTGCCCTGCCCTGCCCTGCCCTGCCCGCATTCTGAAGTAACGGCCTGTGCGAGCGACGCGCGAGGCACGCCGTGCGGCCCATCAGGATCAGCCCCGCCTCCGATAGCGCTGCTCCGATCTGCCGTGGCAGCAATTCGGAAGACTGTCTCTCGCGCTCCTGGGGCTCTCCGGCAGGGTGCGAGAGAGACAGATCGAGAAACCGATCTTCTGAATCGCTCGACTGGCTGACTCTCCTCCGCGCTAGCCGGCCGGCTTCGCTTCGGAATATCGCACGCGAGCGCGGCGCGGCGCGACGCTCGATCGGCAGCCAGATAGACCGACGGCCAAACAACACCATGCGATACGCTTGTTGCTCGTTGCTTCACGGCGGCGCGCGGCGCACCGGGCAGCGCGGCCGGGCCGTGGCGACTCTGTGGATCACTCAGGACTGCTCGGGGCTTCTCGCGGGACTCGTGCAGGCGAGCCCTCAGTCTTGTCCGAGATCCGAGCTCTCGGCAACCTTGCCGACGTCAAGCCCGGCCGTCCCTGACATTGGGACGCTGGCGCCCTAGCGGCCCCGCGGGGGCGCGGCAGGGCGCGGCACGGCAGGGCACGGCACGGCACGGAGCGGAGTCTGCCGCTCGCTAGGCCTACCTTGATAATAGCGTGCCAACCTTAGCATCATCAGTTATCTTTAGTTGATCCCCGCACAGTGGGCTAAAACGCCCTTTTAGGCGCTCAAAACCTACATTTCAGCCATTTTCGATCGTATATGTCCCAAATTTGGTACAGACCCTCTTTTGGTCTTACTTCAAAAAATTTTGAACAAGCGGCGGCAAGTGTGACCTTATCTCAGCCGTGGTTCCCGAAAATTGATTTAATATCGTATTTTATGTGTATTTTTCTGAGTCTGCGGGAGCAGTCTCTCTTTCCACTAGATCAATGCAAAACATATTGTTGTTTTTAAATGTAAATTTCAGACGAAACAATTGAAAACTGCTGAAAGGAGTCAAAAAGGAGTCGAAAACATCACTTAAATTAAACCATGAGACAAGGGGTAATGGACTCGCAACGAAGCTGGCCGGAATCTCTGCCTTGCGAATTGTAGTCCACTATTTCTCCGACTAAATGTGCGATTTTTTAGATGGCTCGGGCATTTTCAGAAAGAAGATACCTTAAAGTATGCCCAAAATTCAAAAGAGTTTCGATTTTTCCACCAGGGCTTGAACAAGAACAGTTTCACCGTTGCGCTTCTCAAATGCGCAGGGCGACGGCCATGGTGCCAGCGGCGACGCAGGGGGGACGCATCTTCAACTTGCGATAAACGCTTCCGGATGCCGCAAAAGTGATGGGACAAGTTGTGCACTTGATATATGTCGAAGACAACTATGTCCGGTCACTTTGCGGCATCGAAGCTTCTATCGCAAGTGAAGATGCGTCCCCCTGCGTCGCCCTGGCACCATGGCCGTCGCCCTGCGCATTTGAGAAGCGCAACGGTAACCTGTTCCTGTTTGGGCCCTGTGGGAAAGAAACTTTTTTGAATTTGGGCATACTTCAAGTGTCTTCTTTCCAAATGCCCGAGCCATCTCAAAATCGCACATTTAGTCGGAGAAATAGTGAACTACAATTCGGAAGCAGAGATTCCGGCCAGCTCCGTTGCGAGTCCATTACCCCTTGTCTCATGATTAAACTGTAAAAAATCATGGCTACAGATTTTATAACAACTGTCAAACTCCAATTTCCTAAAA